AATAATAATAATAATAATAATAATAATAATAATAATAATAATAATAATAATAATAATAATAATAATAATAATAATAATAATAATAATAATAATAATAATAATAATAATAATAATAATAATAATAATAATAATAATAATAATAATAATAATAATAATAATAATAATAATAATAATAATAATAATAATAATAATAATAATAATAATAATAATAATAATAATAATAATAATAATAACAACAGTTATTATTATTATTATCTTTATTATTATTATTGTAATTAACACGCCTATCACTATTCCCTAATATTTCGTCAATTTTGCACCATTTTACTATTCGTTAAAAATAAATCACTGAAGAACTCTTTAAAGGTATTTAATTTTAGAGCTAATGAAAAATTTGCATTTGATTAGCAGTTGCTAATTATGCATGCTATCACTTTCTTATTTAAGGGAATCACTTTTTTACTTAATCTTTGACGTCAAAATAAACAAAAGAAAGAAAAGTCTAAGCTCAATTTTCTTTTCAGTACTCTCGGAAATTTGGGAAACACTTTGACTGTTTAAAGGAATTAAACTTCGATGTTATCATAATTCGATAACCATAGGTAGCAAAGGAGAAGCAAAAGATAATCAAAAGTTAGCGAAAGCATTTCAATTTCATATGAGGAAAAAAAGAAAAAAAGAGCAAGCAAAGTCAAAATTACTGTATGCAATTATATTCATACAATAAGATTCAACTTTTCAACTTTTATTGAAATATCAATCATATATTTAACTATCACTTGATTAGTAGTTGCTAATTATGCATGTTATCACTTCCTTATTTAAGAGAATTTATCAAATATATACTTCTTGAGCCAATTTATCGAAACTAGAGTACCATTTGAACATTTCAATTTTAATATCTGCGAAATGTCTAATATTGATAACGATGGATGTGCTTCACCTTAACGTTTTTCAAATTACATTGTTCAGATCATCTCCCAAAATCTCGAAGTTGGATAAAATTTCGATCAAAAAAGGAGGAAACGAATTGTTAAAATTACTGATAAGCAATGAGATAAAAATTTGAAGTTTTATGTACCACATTTAGCAGAGGTTATCAAGATAATTTGATCGCGGTTTCTACACATCACTCTTCGACACCGAAAACGAGGATCCAACAAAGCGTCGTAAATACCCATAATCATTTTTTTTTAATATGATTAAACATACAAGGCATTTCTTTATGTCAGATAAACTTGACGGGATATGTAAATGCATGAAGTTATAGAAAATTTTTCAAAAATTGGCCGGATCCTTTTTCAAAAACTCCTTTAAAATAAATTGAGAAATTTCGAAAATTTCACAGTGTCATTTATTTTAAAACAGACAGAGAGATGAAAGGAGTACTGATAACAACAAAGCTTGAAAATTTCCTGGAAAGTAACTTGTCAAAATATTAGACTAGAAAAATCGCGGAATGTAATAAAATAGCATCATGATAAGAACGTACATAATACTAAATCATGACAGTTGGATAGCCAAGTGACAACAAAAATTTTGTAAGTCCAACAAAGAGTCTGAGAATAAATCATACGAAAATTTTGCTAAACAAATTAAAATATTAAGGAAAATACAAAATTGCCCGGCAAATAAAATGCATAGGAAATTTGCAGAGTAAACTGCATAACATTTAGTTGTGGCTTCTATTAAAGATCAATTCTTAAAGCCGATAAAGCATCCGGATGTGTCGCTGCGTAACTGGCTGAAGTCTGGGCTGACTGAACATCATCCACTGGTTCATTGGTTGCGGACAGTTTTGGTCGCTTCGGTACAGGCACACTGCAAGTCTCAATCGATTGCTTGGATTTCGATAATTTCAACATTTCCATTCGTAATTTTTCCAGTATTGCATTGTTTGGCTCCAGTGCTGAGCTTTCTTTAGTACGATTGCCTACAAAAATTAATGTACAAAGGACTGTTAACGAAGTCTGAGATTTTCAAACCTTGAATTTTATATCAGAAATTATAAATGAAAAATTCCCACATGAAGAAAAATTTGATCCATCATTAATATATTTTAACACTGAGTGAAACAAAATGTGCACACCTTGTAATCTGATTATACTCTGTCGACTTTTCCGTGCTTCTTGCTGCTTTTGTTGTGTTCCATGCCCGTAAAGCCGTATGAGGGAACCCCATGTGTCAAGCTAAAAACAACAGTTCTGGATTTTATAAAAATTTGGTTTCTGAAAGGGACTGATACGATCGAAACAGTCCTTCCTAATATTCTGCTCTCTTTCAGTCTATATGTAATTGGAGCCCAAACCTTATATCAAGTGATGACAAAATTCCCTTATCAATTATTCCCTTCCTTCAAAATGCGACTAAAAGTAAGGTGCTCTTGAAATTTGACAAGTGGTTTTTACCACAAAGTTAAGGCGTATATCACATTACCTCAGCTTTGCCAAAAAAGTTCTTAATTTGGTCATTTAAATATTCAAATTTCTAATCTTATTACGATTCATGCAATGAAGATTTTTCGTTGACTGTTGTTAATTGCTGATACCAGGTGGTAATTTTTTGTAAAAAATATTCTGCCAATTAGTAAGAATTTTTTCTGCCAGTCAAAAAAAATGTTCTGTCAGCTGGAGAGATTTTTTCGCGGCATCCCCTAACAAAGTGTTATTATTTGTATAGGGACTATTATTGTACCAGGTGGTAATTTTCGCAAAATGCAAATAAAATGCTGAACAAATTACGCTTATGCAAACAAGAAAACGAACTGAATGATTTCTAGCAAAGAAAAAGACCTTTTTGCTTTTTCTTTTTTTTGTAAAGTAAGGGAATGAATCATTTCAAACAAAGATTAAAATTTTCAGTCCCTCAAATCTCAGAAAATTTCAACTCTCATAAAAGTTACTAACATTTGGATGCAATTTTTTGAGCATTGCTTGGGATGCTTTCTGTTTGCCTTCACGCTTATTTGCACATATAACAGAAACACGATGTTTGCCGACGTCCATATCGAACTGATGGCGCTGATGTTTGACCCGTACCGAATGAACCTTTATCTCCGTGTCGCCGTATGCTGCATTTCGTTTAAGGCATTCCTGGAATTTCTTAATGTTTGATGTGATACAAGAAAAAAGACATATCGAAAGAAACAAAATGGTCACTACGAATGAAAAATTTAGAAATAGTCTGCCAACTATTGAAAAATTAATAACAATATTACACAAATGCAATGATAACTACTAAACTGAGATAAGTTATAACTCTCCGGAATTTTTTTGAAATATCTCAAAAACAGCGTAAAATTCAGTAATATGTAAGAAATTTAAAAAATAGGTTTAGAAATTCGGGAAACAATGTAACTACGAAACTGAATGCGAAGAATCACATGATGTATCGAACATAAAAATTTAATATAGATTTATCATATAGTTAATTCTAAGTAGTAAATCTGAGTTCAGGAATAATCCCAAAATGAATACATGAATTTAAGACCCCATAAAGTGTACAACATATAAAGGATGTGAATGCAAATTTTGGAAAACTTCCGAAATTTAAAAATTGATTCCAGTTAGGCTTGCATTTGGAGAAATGAAAAACATTTGAAATTTCATGAAATAAAGAAAATCATAACCCCCCGTTAAAAAGTTTAAAAATACTAAGAAATTTTCAAGATACAATTAAATTCATTTTAAGCTTTAGAATCCTAAGAGTGCCTGCAAAACAACGGTCAGCAATATGCATAATTACCTAAAAGTCAAAATTTAATTTAACCTGAAGTAATAAATACGGTGAGGGCTGACCAGCTCTAGCAGATAAATCAAATATTCGTGAATCCTCTATTGGTAACATATCAAATAATGCTACCGCATCTTCCTTATCGCTTTCTGCATCATCTTTCCTGGAAAGTGGAAATTTTAATCTAAGAGACCAAAAACATGAAGCACAGATAAGTGCAAATTTACAATTTTGAGAGTCCAAACTAAACAAAAAAACTATTTCAATTGATAGTTTACAGTGCAGTTTATAGTGTGTCTGAACAGTAACAACGATGATAGCGTAAATAAGAGCAATATATGTATGTTTAGGAATGCGTCGAATATATTAATTTACTTGTCAGTACACAGCATAGAACAAATAAAAAAAAAAGACGCAACATTAGAAAATTGTCAAATCGTTACTTTCTGCATAATTTTTTTTTCTTGCATTTTGAATCATTACGAAATGGAATTTTAAAGGACAAATGCGGATATGATATCCAACAAATTGTTCACTATATCACTTTATGCATGTAAGAATGAATAAACCAGAGGAATAGGTCTTCGACTAAGTAAAACGTGCTCAGAATCAAACTCGATTTTGAAATCCTTAAAAGTCCTTCTTATTAGCAAAGTGACTTACACTTTCTTATCACTTCTAGCAATACCCTCTGGATCAAATTCTACATCCGGTATCAGAACTTTCAAAGCATTTCGTGCAGCATCTAGTTTAGCAGTTTTTTTGCTATTACCGCAACCCGTTCCAAGAACCACAAAATCAGCATCTAAATATGTAAGTAATAATCTTTCTAGTTGTAAATTTTATCAGATAACGAACTTTATTCAACTAATGACCAATTACAGTGAAATAACTAAGAAATATGGATGACACCAGACTTTTAGCGGCCTCAAGTTGTATCAATAAATGATGTGGCAGTGGCATTCAACAGCTGATTCTAAAGATTCAGATCCGGG